CACTGGCCACACTCATGCCACTACCTGCTTTTGTAGATAAAGTTTCCTTTAAACTCACCCTTTACTTCTTGCTTTCACACTACAGTGCAGAGTGGAGTGCTCGTAGCAGAAACCCTGTGACCACAAAGCCTGAATGGTGACTATTAGGCCCTGATTTACAGAATTTTACCAATCTCTAATTTATACATTAAACGCTTGTATTAGAAAAATAAACAGATCTCAAACCAGTAATCTAAGCTTCCACTACAAGATACCAGTAAAAGAAGAGCAAATTAAACCCAAAGAAAACAGAAATAAGGAAATAAAGACAATGTATAATTAAACACAAAGAATTTGAAATGAGAAAATTGATAGGAAAAAGACAATAAATCAAAGCTAGTGTTCGAAAACAAAGATAAAATTGATAAATATCATACCAGATTGATCAAGAAAAAGAGAAGACACAAATTAGCAATATCAGAAGTGAAAGGGGGGAAGACTAGAAATTCCACAGACATTCAAAGTGTACTCAAAGTTAAGGACAACTTGAATGAAATGGAGAAATTCCTTGAAAAGCAAAATTGACAAAAATTCCTCTAGAAGAAATAGATAACCTGAATATTCATTAAATAAATCAAAGGCATTGTTAAAACCTGCCAACAGGGAAAAATATGGCAGCATGAGAAGTGAGGCAGAAACCTCCTCCCAAAACCACATGTAACATGTAAATACAGCAAATACAACTAATCCTGAAAGAGCAACCTGAAGACTGCAGAACAGACTGCCTACCTGTGGGGAAGAGAGAAGACCTCACAGAACAGGGTACAGTAGCAAATCCACAATCTGGTGGGACCCAAGCCCTGCCCCCACCCCAGCCCACATGGGGGAGGAAGAGAAACGGAGCAGGGAGGGGGTAGAAGCCCAGGACTGCTAAACACCCACCCCTAGTGATCCGCTCCAGGAGCATGGACCCGCATTACAAGGTGCTTTGGAGATTAGTGGGGTTGGAAAGCAAAGACAGGAAGAATATTTGGAGAGACTGTGATTCTAGCTGCTTGTGGAGAACAGGTACCCACAACTGGCTGCTCTGGGACAAAGGAAGGAAGGGCACTTCGAAAGACTTCCTAACAGCCAGAGGGGCTGTTGCGTTCCTATATGCTAAGGATGAACTAGCAGAAAGAGAGATCAGGAAAACAGCTCCATTTACAATGGCATCAAAAAGAATAAAACACATAGGAATAAATCTAACAAAGGAGGTGAAAGACCTATACCCTGAAAACTATAAGACACTCATGAGAGAAATTAAAGAGGACACTAATAAATGGAAATACATACTATGCTCATGGATAGGAAGAATTAATATTGTCAAAATGGCCATCCTGCCTAAAGCAATCTACAAATTCAATGCAATCCCTATCAAAATACCAACAGCATTCTTCAATGAAATAGAGCAGATAGTTCTAGAATTCATATGGATCCACAAAAGACCCCAAATAGTCAAAGCAATCCTGAGAACGAAGAACAAAGCTGGGGAGATTACACTCCCTAACTTCAAGCTCTACTATAAAGCCACAGCAATCAAAATAATTTGGTACTGGCAAAAGAACAGATCCACAGATCAATGGAATGGAACAGAGAGCCCAGATATAAATGCAAACATATATGGTCAATTAATATGCGATAAAGGAGCCATGGACATACAATGGGGAAATAACAGCCTCTTCAAGTGTTGGCAAAACTGGACAGCTATGTGTAAAGGAATGAAACTGGATTATTGTCTAACTCCATACACAAAAGTAAACCAAAATGGATCAAAGATCTGAATGTAAGTCATGAAACCACAACACTCTTAAAGGAAAACATAGTAAAAAATCTCCTGAATATAAACATGAGCAACTTTTTCCTGAACACATCTCCTCAGGCAAGGGAAACAAACGCAAAAATGAACAAATGGTGGGACTACATCAAACTAAAAAGCTCTGTACAGCAAAGGACACCATCAGCAGAACAAAAAGCATCCTACAATATGGGAGAGTATATTCATAAATGACATGTCTGATAAGTGGTTAACATCCAAAATACATAAAGAACTCATATGCCTCAACACCCCAAAACCAAATAACCCAATTAAAAAATGGGTAGAGGATCTGAACAGACACTTCTCCAAAGTAGAAATTCTGATGCCAACAGGCACATGAAAAGATGCTCCACATCCCTAATCATCAGGGAAATGCAAATTAAAACCACAATGAGATATCACCTCACACCAGTTAGGATGGACACAATCCAAAAGACAAGGAACAACAAATGCTGGCGAGGATGCAGAGAGAGGGGAACCCTCCTACACTGCTGGTGGGAATGTAAATTAGTTCCATCATTGTGGAAAGCAATATGGAAGTTCCTCAAGAAACTAAAGATAGAAATACCTTTTGACCCAGTAATTCCACTCCTAGAAATTTATCTGAAAAAAACAAGATCCCTGATTCAAAAACAGATATGCACCCCTATGTTTATTTTAGCACTATTTACAATAGCCAAGATATGGAAGCAACCTGAATGTCCATCAGTAGATGAATGGATAAAGAAGATGTGGTGCATATACACAATGGAATATCATTCAGCCATAAAATGAAAACAAATCCTACCATTTGCAACAGCATGGATGGAGCTAGAGGGTATTATGCTCAGTTAAATAAGTCAGGTGGAGAAAGACAAATGCCAAATGATTTCCCTCATTTGTGGAGTAAAACAATGCTGCAAAACTGAAGGAACAAAACAGCAGCAGACTGACAGACTCCAAGGGACTAGCAGTTACCAAAGGGAAGGAGTTGGGGAGGGTAGGTGGGGAGGGAGGGAGAAGGGGATTAAAGGGCATTATGATTAGTGCACATAATGAAGGGGGGTCATGTACAGCCTGGAGAAGACAAGTAGTGACTCTATAGCACCTTACTACGCTGATGGACAGTGACTGCAGTGGGGTGTAGGGGGACTTGATAATATGGGTGAATGCTGAAACCACAGTGTTGCTCACGTGAAATGTTCATAAGATTGTAGATCAATGATATATTAATTAAAAAATAATCTGCCAACAGGGAAATCCCAGGCTGGGATTGCTTCACAGGTGATTTCTACAAATTATTTAAGAAAGAGTTAATGCCAATTTTATGCAAATTCTTCTAGAAATTAAAGAGGAGGGAATATTTTCCGACCTATTTCATAAGACTAGTATTATCCTAATATTAAAACTAGATAAAGACAATAAAATAAAAGAAAATTACAAACAACTATTCCTCATAAACATAGACACAAAAATCCTACACAAAATAGAAATAATCCTAATTCAGAAATATTTATAAAGGATGATACAAAATCAGACCAAATGGGACTAGCCTGGGAAGACAAGGTTCATTCAACATTCAAAATCAACTAATGTAATTCACCATAACAGAATGAAGATGAAAATCCATGTGATCACTTCAATAAACACAGAAAAATGTATTTAACAAAATTCAACATCATTCATGATAAAAACTCTCAGCAAACTATGAATTAAAGGAAACTTCCTCAACTTGATAATGACCATCTATAAGAAATATCATACTAATGGTGAAAGACAGGTATTTTCCCCCAATGTCAAGAACAACACAAAGATGTCCACTCTCACCACTTTTATTCTCACTATACTGGCTGGGCAGTGCAAAATGACAAAATAATAATAATTAATTATAATATTTCTACCAATTGGAAAAAATAATTAAAATCCCCTCTGTTAACAGACAACATGATTTTTAAATAGAAAATCTCCAAGAATTTACCAAAAAGAGACTAGAACTAATAAGTTTAGTCATAGGAGACAAAGTAAATATACAAAAAGTAATTGTATACATTCTAGAACTGTACATGAATTTGAAACTGAAACATTTTTTAAAGGATCATTTATAATAGCACAAAAATTCATGAAATACCTGGGGCTAAATCTAACAAAGTAGTTTCAATTAGTATTCTGATGATGAGACACTGACAAAAGGAATCGTAGAAACTCAAATAAATGAGGTATGTGATGTGATGTGCATTGACTGGAAAACTCAGTGCTGTTCAGGTATTTATTCTCCCAAATTGATCTATGCATTAATATAATCCAAATGAGAATACCAGGAAGTTTTTGAAGAAAATTCACAAGCTGATTCCAAATTTTATATAGAAAACCAAAGGTAATAAAATAGCCACAACAAATCTGGAAAAGGAGAACAAAGTTGAAGGACCCGTATTACCCAAGGAGGTACAGCAAACAGACACTGCAGTATTGGCAGAGGACAGATAGGTAAATACAACACAATAGGGGCCCAGAAACAGACCCACACATATATGATTCATTCATTCTAGACAGAGATACAAAAGCAAATTGGTGGAGAAAAGGTAGTCTTTTCAACAAAAGGTGTGAGAATATTGCATACTGCTTACATGCAAGCAAATTAACTTGAACCTACACTTCACAGCATCGACAAAACTACTAGATTTTAGATTTAATATAGAGCCTAAAGCTGTAAAACTTTTAAGAGAAAACACAGAAAATCTCCATGACCTACATCTTGACAAAGATCTCTTAAACTGGACAAAAAAAGCATAAAAGGAAATGTGATAAATTGCTCTCCACTGAAATGAAAGTTTCTGCTCTTTTAAAGACAATATTCAGAAAATAAAATGACAAACTACAAACTGTGAAAATATTGCAAAATATATGTTTGCTTATGGACTGGAATCCAGAATATTTAAAGAACTCCCCAAAATGCAATAATGTAAACAAACCAGTTTAAAATGTACAAAAGATTTTAATTGACACTTCATCAAATAAGATAGTAAGTAAGCACATGGAAAAATGTTCAGCATCATTAGTCATGAAGAAAATTCAAATTTAAAACACAATGAGATTCTACTACAGAACTATTAAACACATATATAAGCTATATATTATATACTATAACATATACTATGTACTTATATACATGTGTGTAATACATACATGAGTATTATTATATAGAGAGAGGTGACAATACCAAATATTGGCAAGAATGTGGAGAACTCTAGTGTTCTGGTGGTGGGGATACAGAATGGTACAGGCACTTTTTTAGAAAGTAGTTTGGCATTTTATTATAAAACAAAAAACACACTAACTGCAAAATTCAGTAATCTGGCGTCTAGGTAATTACCCAAGAGAATGAAAGCAAACTCCCACCCAAAACCTAACACAGATGAATTTTATTACATATAAACTATACCTCAGCAAATTTTACTTTAAAGAATGGAAGTGACTTGGGCCTCTGCCGCCCGAGAGGCCCATCTGAATCCTGCCGTCTCACTCCTGCCCTCGCAGGAGTCCATTTCCATCTCCACTACCCGCCTGGCAGACTTTGTGAAGGTCGGCAATGATATTCTGACTGCAGAATATGTTTCCAGTTTTTATTAGACTAATTTTTCACCATTTACCAGCATCAACAGCTCCCTCCCTGGTAGCTTCCCCTTTGTCCTCCACATCTGTCTCCCCTGACCACATTTTCTTAGTTTGAGGCAGAGGCCCCTCTACCCCTTAAACACTGATGTTCCCTCTATTAGCCATCTTTTCTCTCTTTTCATCTATGAGTCATTTATTTTAAAGGTGAAGTTGAGCATTCTAAACAAGGGAATTTTGCACTTCAAGGACCTTACATTGGCATCAGTTGGAGGACAGGTTTGAAAAAACACAAAAGTAAAGGCAGGCAGGTAGGCTGGGAGATCATATGGCAGAGGGGCAGAGACTGGGACTGGGCCACAGAGGCAGGGACAGGCTGCAGGGAGAGCCGGACGGCGGGAGGGACAGGGCTTGGGCATGTGGACAAGGGGCAGGGGACAGGGAAGCAAATTCTTGGGTAAATGACCAATTTTGTGTTCTGGGCAATCTGAATAATGGTGGAGCCACTCAGCAAGTCTGCAGACACAGGGGAAGGGACAAGTTTTGGGGACAGAGTGCTTATTCCAGGTTGGGCAGCACTGAGTTTGACAAGCCTGTCAAGAAAACAGTTACAACACAGTTTGTTTATCAGGAAAGGAGCCAAGGCGTATGTACATATATATTTTATATTTTATAAGCTTTATATATTTATTATATGTGATACATTATGTATACATATACGCCTATAAAATATAGATATATATCATATCTTTTATATAGCTATACATAAAACATATATGCAATTCAACCTCCTTAGGCTCTTGGCTGGGACAGTTTTGTGGAACGCCAATCAGGTGTCTTATAGAATATCCCTCGACTGGACTTGTCTGATGTTTTTCTCAAGATCAAACCAGGATTAAGTGCATCTGGAAGGGAGATACAGAAGTGAAGTGCCATTCTCATCACATTGCATCAGGGGACACACTCTCTGTCAGTGGGACTTACTGAGGTCCTAGAGCTGCCTTCCAATGCAGTGGACTCTTTTTCTTCATGCACGAGCAGACTGAATGCATGTTTGTTTTAATTTTGGAAATATGACAGAATTGCACACACTTCATCAAATATGTACACATGGCTCTGTACCATCGTATAGTTCATCTCAACAATATACAGAAGCATATTTACACCAGACAGTAGGGCTAGACAGAGACATTCACACTTACAAGCCTATAATACACTTAGAGGAAAGCAAATCACAAGATCGCACAATAGCAATTCGATGTAGTCTCTGCTGGGGTCCATGCAGACAAGCCTCTGGGGCTTGAGGGCAGAGCGGCAGAGCCACCAGGCACTAAGCCGAGACCAAGCATGCTTTAATATGGCCATTGAAGTGACGGGGAGCAGAGGTAATCCGGGGGATAAAAAAAAGTCAGGCTGCATAGAGCCTTGTACACCAGGTCTCACTAGGTCGGTGATCTACTTGGCCTTTGACATTATATTCGTGCAGAACAAACACATTCACACATCTGTGAGCAGAGACCATCCTCATTACTAAGGAATGTGGAGCCACTCTTACCTCCGAGAGGCAGCAGACATCCAGCCGGTGCGAAGCTGGTTTCTGTGTTCGCCATCCCTCCAGCGTCGAGCCACTCACTTTTGACAAGGAGAGGAAAAAAGGATGAAGCAAGCGCGGGCTGTTCCTGGCGACTTAGTGATCAGAGCCCATTAGGATGGTTCTGGCTGAACTGGCTGCGTTCCTCTGAAATTACTTTCAAAGTAGGGACGCCAAGAGTGAGTCTGGGCACTGCTGCATTTTCTGCTTGTTAGTCGTAAAATAACCAACATCACTTACCTGTACCCACTGAGCTTCAAAGCATGGCTTTTGAAGTGCAAAATCAAGTGAAATGTGGAACTGAAATGTGAAGCTGTTTTGGGCTATGTTGCCTTTCATCTGAAGGTCTCAGAACACTTTCTGTGCAGTGGACTGAGGCGGATCTACCCCTGGGCTCAGGATTTGTATCTGAGCCACGTGTGGTTCTGAACAAATGTCAGGGCTAGAAAGTGTGTGTACGTGTCTCTTGGATCATAACTTTCAAGTAGTCTAATTATAACTAGAACAAGGAGGGATGCTGAAGAAACAATCCCATGCTTTATGCTGTACACGTATGCACCCTTAATAAACAACAGAATCCCCAGTAGTAACGCCGCATTTTTCTGGTGTCACTAAGGTCAGAAGTGGCCCACGTAAAGGAGTTTTGACATAATATTTTTGTAATTCTCATGGGAAAATTTGTTTTATCATTTTGCATTAAAATATTTTAGAAATATACATTTTCTTCCATTTCTGGATAAAAAATGTGGCAGTAATTTTATATTTAACTGATGACTTATTGACCTATGCTGTTTTGCAACAAGGGCTTAAGACAGGTCCTGACTGCTTCGAGCTTCAATATCTCCAAACTGCTCCGCTCTTCACGTTGTTTTGTGCCAGGTCATTACCCATTTACCTGGAGGCAGCGTGTTGCAGGGACACAGGCTCGTCTCTGGAGAGAGGCAGCGGGGCCCAGTCCCAGAGCGGCTTGGTTTTGCTGTCTGGGAAATGAAGGTAGTAACACAGTCACGGTCTCCTGGAATAGCTGGATGGACACTGAGATGAGGTCCGCGGCGCCTGGTGCAGATGGGGACTCGGTCAGGTGTGGATTCCAGCCACTCACATTCCCTGCCCAGCTCCCAGCGATGATTCCGGCTGCTGCAAATGCATATGCTGACTGTCCCTTTCCCTTCTCCTTGGGGAGCCTATTCCATCGCAAGCTGTGATACTTGATAATCAAGCTTATTTTACTTGTGCCTAAAATGATATTAAAAGATGAACTAGGGCCTAGGAAATAGTAAATAAGCTTTACAAATTCTATTTTTAAACATAGAAGCTTTTAGCATATCTTTATTCTTCATTATGTTCTGGACAGTTGAGATCACTTACAGTGACCTCTGGAAAAGTTTGACTTAAATATAATCAACACAGAGGCCATTATGGCAACCATGAATCTCACCATCCTCTTAAATAAATAAAAAAAGGAGGTAGGGAATTATGGCAAGATATGTAGTGTTCGATAAGTCCCTGCTGTGACCTGGAACTACATGCTCTGAGGAATTGTCTCATTTAACCCTGGTAGCCGCCTTCTATGGAATCTACAGCTTTTTACAGATTTTAAAGACTGTGACAAAGGAGCTCATACTCAGCATAGTCTCCACTTATAAACCCTCTACTTTTCTCCTTAGAAATCATGCATGCAGCTGTTCTGTACTTAGAGATCAGGATGGGAATGCAGGACTGGAAGAGGCCTCACCATGGGCCACTGGACTCTCTGACCCGCCTTTCCTTACATTTCATCCATAGCATCCATGCTGAATGATGGTCCTTTCTGAATTCTCACGCCTTCTGTGTCAGGGAACTTCCCGCCTCCCCCAGACAGCTGATTCTATGCTTGATCGGCATAGACTACTAGAGGATTCTGCACAGTGAGCATAATAAACACAACATCCTATCGCATCTTGCCACTGGTTCCCGTTTTCCCTGACGGAACCAGGAGAAACCTGAAATTCAGGGCTGGACTTTCAGGCTGCCCCAGGAGCACATGTGTGCAAGACACACTCAGCTGGTGGAGCACACAGCAGGCAGGAAAGCCCCTCCCGGGCCACCAGCACAGCCCCCACCTCCCTGCCCTGCAGACCAGGACCGGGCCACATGCCTGGTGCCCCAGCTGTTGCCAGGGAAGCTGTGAAGAAATAAATTTGTCCGTGGCGTCCCTCATGGTGTGGGGCCTGTTCTGCGCATAAGGAAGGCGGTCGATGGGCTGGGGAAGGGCTGCTGGTTGGTGACCATCGTTGTGGCTTCAGTCAGACAGCACCCTCAGTAAGTTCCTGTTGCCTGCAAATTTGGAGCCAAGATACAAAGCTTTCACATTTTGAAGGCAGTGCTCATAGGTAACTCACTCTTTTCTTATTACCTGTGTTAGTAAACTGGTACCATTCTTAGAATTTTAAGATGTTTATTTAACCACTAATGTTGATGCTATAATAGATATTACTATCAAATGAAAATTACAACTTTTGAGAAAAAGAAAGTTACTCAAAGTAGTGAGCAAAGGAAATAGTTGTGCACTGAGCCCGTGGTCTTTCTATTTACTTTTTCTTGGATTTCTATTTATTAAAATAAGAAAAACACCTAAGTCAATTAAATAGAGGAAGATGAAATGTACTTATTTGTATATAAGATTCTGTAGACATTATTTTCTATTAGATATCGACTTTCAATAAAGTAAGAATTATAGCCAGTCATTTTAATAGCCAGTGATATTTATATTAAACACAGAGTCCAAGTCCTTTTTACACAGTAATATAATTTATTCTGATGAATATGTGGGCTATGCTGGATGGTAGAAACTTTCTCTATTATCAAGGTTGTTAAAAAATACAATCTAATCATAGAATCAGTTACTAAACTAAGAGAATTTTAGAAAAATAAAATGAAGTGACATTTTAATTAAGCTTTTAATTAAGTGCATTACTTTCACATAAACAAAATCACAGTAAGCTTCAAATAATCTACCTCATACTAGAAATACATGGACATAAACAACCACTTCACTGTCAACTAAAATACCCAATTAAGAAGACTGACTGACACAGGTAATCCCCAAAATATTGCCTAATCCTTTTATCTTGATTGACAGCACATCTTATTCCCTGAGGAGCAAAACAGTCAATGAAAGAAGTTTCGATCTTTTCTCCCACTTTTAGTTTTCTGGGCTCATCAGATAAATATGTTGGGCCTTATTTCCCATTAGAGATGTCAAGAGAACTGATTTTAAACAAGGTAAAGGCTTGGCTTACTGTTTATTATTCTATTTTTAATATCTAATTCTGCCTATTGTCTTCAGACTATTGTCTTAACAGACTTTCTCTCCTTCATTACTTTTTGTTTCTTTCCATGATGGCAAATATTTAAACTAAATTCTCTGCTCTGTTTATTTTTAAAGGACATTGGTAGTTATTTTGTCAGAGACAGTAGATTCTTGGTAAATATTTACTTCCTTGCTACCCTTTCCATGTATTTCACACTTGCTCCAAAATCATGCTTAAGCTTAGCACTTTTATAAACCACCAATTTCAGCCAGAGATATGTTTTCCAGGATTCCATTACAGAAAACTGATATTTTTCCAAGGTGTCTTAAGAAAAATAAAAAGAAAAGACAACATGGAAAGTAACAGCAGTGAAACTTGGTATTTGCCACAACAAATTGATCTACTGTCTCTAGCAAATCATAGCTTGAAATGTATTTCAAAATCCTTAACTTCCAATATCACTCCAAAGATTGCTGGTGACAGTGATCAATACATACCTGCTTCGTCCTATTATGATGGTCTCACTGAAAATGTCTGAGAGGTGACTGCAAGACTGCTTTGAAGTCCAGTTGTAATTCACCCTCAGGTTTTAGAGTAACTTGCAGTTGGACAACATCTGGTAAATAGTCTTCTCTGCTTTATATGAGGCAAAATTAAAACCAGTCTCAGCCTAACCCTCTTCCATGTATGAGTGGCGAAGAATTATTGGAAGCTACTCACAGGCTTCCCCCCAACAACAATATTCATTATAAACCCTGGACCTGTCTGACAATGAGCTTCAGCACCTACGAGCTTTATGTAGTATTTCAAATGCAATGGCAAGTTGTTTCGTGATTTTTTTAAGGATGAAAGGGGAAATTATGCTGAGGCAATGTTCACTTTTTGAAGAAACGCTTAATTGACCTGAGGTAATATTTTTACAACACACAGGAAATACCAGGCAGGTGCTGACTCATCCTGACCGGCCCCACTGCCGCGGCCAAGGAGGCTCCCACTGGCTGCAGGGGAGCTGCTGCCAACAGACACAAGAGGTGCCAGCCCAGCGGAGTCTGGTTTTCTTCATTTTTCCAACTTGGAAAATTGTGACATTTTTAAACCATGCTCCTGACTGGTCACCCACCCCCACTTTTTCCACCTTCCTTATTCCCCACAATATTTGAAACTGCCTCTCATGATAATGCTTGGCTTCAAAGATTATCTTTATAGAGAGGGAAATCTTCTCCTTTGAAAACTCTAGGTATAAGTTTAAGGAAAGTTATATTTTCATCAGACAATTCAAATATTCTGTATTTGCCATTATCTATGAGGATTATTCTCTGGGGAGCTTATTCCTTTTACCAGAGATGCTTACAAGCTTCAGTAAGAACGTGGAATCTTATCACTGTACATGTATATCCGAGAAAGTGGAGACCCACCAAACAGGATGAGGGTGAAACCCACCCAGCTCGGGCCCTTGCTCGGCGTCCCCCCTCCAGGGCACACGCCACAGCGGCCGAGCCGTTGGACAGAGGGTGGAGTTGGCTGAGTAAACAAGAATGACGCAGAGATTTCCAGAATTTTTAAATCGATCTTTTACAAGTCATCAAGTGTCTCAATAAGGAGCGCTCTGAAAGAGTTTCTCAAAGCTTAATTCCCAGAGCTGCGTGTAGGGTCACTTTGGCTTACGCACCTCATTGTGTTGGCTGCATATAAAAACATGGACTTCCAAGACATCGTTCAGAATAGATGTATTACCAACCTCTTGCCTTCTATAGAATATTTACTTTGTAGAGGCAATTTTTATATATTTTATTATCTTCAGTCTTATATCTAGACTTTGAGAATCTTACCCTCTTAGAATTATACTTTCTCAGACATAAAAGGGGTTTCACTCTGTGACTCTTTTTCACCCTGTTTTGCCCGCCAAGTGTAGTGGCTCAAACCTCCACTTACACAAACCTTCAGGAATGGAGAACTCGCTCATTCCGTCAAGCCAGAAACTCCCCCAAAGTTGTTTCCTTACACTGGAGTGAAATACGCCTCCTCCCAGCCTTCATCCACTGGAAGAGCTGGAACTCTTGAAGCCATGCTGATGTGAATCTTAATCTCTGCTTGAGTACACTTAAATATTTGAAGAAAAATCTCTTGTGGCATCCAAGCTATCACTTCTATTATGTTGAAGTAGCCAGTTTCTTCCAGTGCCTCCCACATGACATCGTTTTCAGACACTTCATCAGCTGCTCTCCTGCTTGAGAATCAATCTGCTTATCTGGCTCCTGGACGTGCCTGACGAGGCGGGGTGACACGTCCCTCATGCTGGACCTTCTCTTCTGTTTCATGGCCTGACACGGCACTGACGTGTGTCGGCAGCCACATTCTGCTATCGGCTCACTTGGACTTATTTGCACTCACGGTGCCGCAGAGCCCTGCTTCTTCCACCCTAAGTCAATGAGGTACATTTAGTGGATTCTGTTTATTTGTATACATTTTGTCTAGTTGTATTCTACCAATCATGAAAACTTCAAGTTGCTTGTTATCCCTCTTCATGACTTATCAACACATAAGAGAACCACCCCTTCCAGGCCCACTACGCGGCTTCAGGCATGTCATGAGCAAATCGCACCTTCTGGCTACTTGCTCGTGGTCTCTAAAGAATGGCATGCTGGGGAGGGAGGCTTTCTGAGCAAAAAGCAGCTCTGTGTTCTGTTTTGCGATCTGGATGCACAGAGAGGCAGCAGGCGTGTTGTAGGATGACAGCAGGGCCCGCCACCGCGAGGCTG